TAGCATGCTCTCACAATAACAATATTGCATACTTATTCCCTTGGGTCTTCTTCGTCTTCTTCTTCTTCTTCTTTTAATTGTGTCCTTTATAAAGTTATATAAGTTAAATTTACAGGAAGTTTTACATATAACTTTATTTTTTAAAAACTTTTTTTTTACTTTATTCAAAGTAATTTGCTCTACATCATATGTTTTTAGCCAAAAATAACTAAAAGATATAGATGTAAATCATTACAAAGATAAATACTTAAGTAATATTATATACAATGCAAGATTTTTTTGGGTAAGTCAGTGGGGGAGAAGGCCCCTACCAGCTTTATTCATTAATAAATGAAAAAGGAAAAACAATTAACGTACAACCCTATAATGGGGTAGTTGTGCCAGTTCATGTAGTAAAAGAGAAGAAAGAAAATATGTTGGTCGACGACACCACACAGTAGCAGCGGGGCTAGCAGATGCTCTCTTAGTAAGAGCATCAGCAACTATATTAGCCTCCCAAAAAATATATGCAATGGACTACAGATGAGTAGAGAGTCTGGAACGATAACTATCTGCAATCGTCTATAATCGCCAGGGAGCACGACATCGATTATGAATGAGATCCACAAGCAGGGCCGAATCGCTTTCCATCTGAATTGGAAAGCAATTTCTCTTGTGAACCAACTAAATTCCTTCTTCAAGGGCCAAGAACTCTGCATGGTTATTAGATACAAAACCAAAATGCTTTGTAAAAGCAGCAATGAAACCACCCTCTCTATTTCCGAGGACTCCACCACCACCTGCTAATCTTGGATTTCTCAAGGAAGCACCATTGATATTGAGCTTATAGTTATGAGCCTCAAGAATTGACCATGCCACATGAATAAGGGATTTTGGTTTCTGTTGACGCCAATTTATCTGAAGATTACTAAGGATGGCCTTTTATGATAAGTGGAAATACCACTTTTTAACTTCTGTTAGTGCCTGAACATGTAGGGTAATATGTTTCACAAGGTGCTTCCTCCTGGTGGATCTTGACATGTTGCGCTCCTCCCATAGAAACCATATAGTAGTAAGAAAGATTGAAGACCAGATATTACGGAGTCCATTAGATTTAAACTTGAAAAGCAACTAACACCTAAGTAATTCAGGGGCAGAAATACTAGGGACAAACCGTTTTCCTCGTCTCCAGGCTAATGATCTCCATACTCGATGAGTAATAGTACATTGAAATAATAGATGGAAAAGGTTGTGATCTTGGTTGCTGCAAAAAGGGTATAAGGAATCCAGCTGCATGCCCCGCTGCTGCAATCAAAATCAAGTGTGTAACTGGTTATGCAAGGCCAGCCATGAGAACCATTTTACTTGTTGGTGGCATTTAGAAGATAAAAATGCACTGAAAATAGGCTGTGATGAACCTTGGTACCTAATAAAATCCCATGCCCCTTTAATAGAGAATAAGTCATTAGCAGAGTGAATCCAAACTAATAAATCCTTGTTGGACTGTAGTGGAAGAATATAATTCTCAACCTCCCTCTATATATTTATCAAAGAGTCAGATGTGGAAGGTGGCAAGTCCCCAGATTGAGGTGCACCTCTTATAAAGTTTGAAACCCTTCTCCCAGTAGCAGCCCCCATGTCCTCCTGAATGGCATTACCATATAACTCGGATAGTAACAAACCTACTAACCATGGATCCACCCAAAAATCCACCATCTGAGCATTACCAATATTCCATTGTACATTATCTTTCAAATGCGATAAGCCCAGTAAAATCCCCTTTCAGGCATGAGAACCTCATCTTTCTGCTTCAGCCTCCCATATAGAAGAATTTTTAAAATATCGATGTTTGAAGAACCGGGCCAACAACGAGGATGGGTTTTCCAAGATCCTCCAAGCTAACTTTATCATTCATGCAATATTAAAATCCACCATTTCTCGTAGTTCGAGACCTCCTTTAGCTTGAGTGAGACACACTGTCCTCTATTTGACATGATGAATACTGTTTTTCTCTACTTCACCGGCCCATAAAAAGTTCATTTGTAGTCTCTCTATCATATTACATGTTTTCTTTGGGAGAATGAAAGATAACAATAAAAAAACCGCTAATGTTCCGAGTACAGATTTAAGCAGCTGAAGACGACCTGCCTATGAGAGGCATAAAGGCTACCATGACCCAATCTTACCGAACACCTTACCCACTAGACCATGGCAATAGCTATGCCTCAGATGTCCACGAAATAAAGGAAGCCCCAAATAACGAACTTGTAGAGATCCTTCGAGGAAATCTAACTCCCTCATAATTCTCTCCTGTCCTCCCCATGGTGCAGCAAAGAAAAAAGCCTTGCTCTTAGAAGAATTCAAAATCAAACAAGCATTATTTTCAAACTTAGAAATAAGTTCTCGCATAACAATGGTAGATGAAATAGATGGCTCATAGAAAATAAGCTCATCATCAGCATAAAATAAAGTGAGAGATCCCATAGTCACACCCAAAAGGAAACGCCCTGGGAACAATACCTTGAAAAATAACACAATCAGGCTTCTTACTAAAGAAGTCTATAACCAACAAGAATAGATATAGGGATAGATGATCCCCTTGCCTCCAAATATCCCTTGGGAGATCCATTCATCAAAATAGAAAAAGAAGTTGTGGAAATACATAATTGAACCTATGAAACAAATAGTTCAGGAAAACCCAAAGCATGCATTCTACCCACAATAAAATCCCATGAAACCTTATCGTAAGCATTGCTTAAATCGATTTGTAGACACATTTTAGGCCGAACTGAATTCCTATGGCAAAGAGACATGAATTCATTTTCCATAAGGATGTTATCTGTAATAAGCTACCTTTCAAGAATACAACCTGCCTAGGATCAATAATATTAGCAAGAACAACTCGTAAAATGATTAGAAATTAGTTTGCTAATAATTTTGTACAAGACATTACATAATCCAATAGGTCGAAAATCTTTCACCACTCTAGGTGTATCCACTTTATGAACTAAACATATAAAAGTGGAGTTGATTTGGTTAAGAATCTTACCTTTAGTAAAGAACTCCTTAAGAGTAAAAAACATATCATTTTTAATGACTTCCCATCCAAACTTATAGAATTCCACTGAAAACCCATCTGATCCTAGGGCACTTTCCTTTTTCATGTCCTAAATGCACACTTTTATTTCCTTCGTATTTACTACATCCACCAATTTTTCCTTTTGAGAAGAACTGAGAAAAGATAGTGGTAAGAAATGATCAACCATATGGAGGTCAATATTGCTCTTATGAGCTCATAGATCTTCGAAATAGCCAATTATATGATTTTTAATGTCAACCTTAGTAGACAAAGAATTCCCATTCTAATATTTCAAGCAGATAATTATGTCCTTCATTCTTCTAACCACCGCAGATAAATGGAAATATTTAGTATTGGAGTCCCCATGCTTTAATCGGTTTTGCCATGATTTTTGTCTCCAGAATCTTTCCTCATAGCCTAGAAGAGTCTATAATTTTTTAGCACTCCTTTTCCTTTGACATAAATGTCTCATTAGAAGGATCCATGTGTACACTATCATGCAAAGATACTCGATCCAACCTCCTTCTAATGCATCGCCTGCTCAACTGGCTATTAGACCAAGAAAACCACCCCTTGACTACACCAAGATCAGCTAGAGCACGGTCCGACATAACTTGAGAAAAATCACCTGAATCTTGAGATAACGAACTACTACCCTCCACTCTCTCCAAGGAATCCAATAAGGTATTGAAATCCCCAAATACCAACCACAAAAGAATAATAGATGCTCCTAAAACCCTCATATTGTCCCAAAGCATAGCCCTTTGGGACACAAAATTGGATGCATATACCCTTGAAACAACTGAGATATTTCCATTACGTATACGAGTAGCCTTGACAGTTATCATCTGGTCATTTACATCCATCACTTTGATTGAGTAAATTAAGGATTCCACAGACCTAAAATTCTGGATCTACCATCAATCTCATTGGCAATAAAGTTATTATAAAATCCCAACTTATTAGACCAAATATGGCTCAACTCATCAAGAAGCTTAGTTTCCAATAAGAAAAGAAGACCAAGATTATGTTGACCTTTTAAAACCCCAATATCTGAGATTCCACCCCGCCCTAAAGGCCCATGACATTCCAGCTTGCAACTGACATAAATAAAATTAAAAGTTTAGTTCTATCACCAATAGTTGATAAAGATTGGCCCTTCTCCTCACCAGTAACTGCGATCTAGTTCGGGATTGAACTTTCATTCGCTTACTATAACCTTCCCCCTTATAACTAATAACTAATAATTTCAAACAAAATAATATAGTCTACATAAAATTAATTTTCTTCCAAACAAGACCTTAGATACAAAGATTGAACATTTTAATTTAAAGAAGCTACAAATAAAAAAAAATATATACAAAGAGATCATTTACTTTTAGTACAAGGAGGTCACAAATACCGTTGTCCGATTTTAAATCCAAATGGTTATAAGAGTGCCACTAATTACCTTTAAAGTTCGAAAAAAAAAATTCAAACTTTATGAATTTGGGGTTTTTTTTTCCAAAGAGAAAAATTGATTTGGGTTTTTTTATTTTCTATTTATTTTATTTTACAAATGAGAGCAGCTGTCCGGCAATGAGAAATGCCCTCATTGTTGGACACTAGTGGAAAGAACTTGAAAAAAAAAAAAAAGAAACCTCTTGGTGTAGGCATTGTGGACAGGGACAACTTACGCTAGAGGGGAGTGCCTCCTGTAATTTAGGACCAATGTGATCCCACCTTGTAATTGATTCCAATGATGTCCATATGTAAATTTCTCTAAAAATAATTGTGACATCATTTTGGAACAAAGATAAATGATCTCATATAAAATTCGTTAAAAAACAAAAATTACCAAGGGTCAAATACTTAGAAACTTACGAAGCGCAAATGATTAAGACGCTGAGAAGTTCATAAGTTAATTTGTTTTTTGATAAATGTCCGGTATAAAAGCGTTCCCTTGACAGGTCTCACTCTCGTTGAACTCCACCGTAAGGGTTTAACAGGGTTTTTACTGAGCTCAAACACGCACGCGAAGGAGAGAGGGAGGAGAGAGAAATGGAAGGAGCAGTGCGGATCCGTGTATTGTTCGAAGGTCACCGTCTCCTGAGCAAGTCTCAGAAAGCAGAGGGACTGAAACGCTGTTGGCTCCTTCTCACACCAAACCTCACCACCATCGCCCACCTCTCTCATCATCTCATTCATACTTTCAACCTCCAAAATACTTGTCCTCATCGATTGCTCCTTTCAGTATATTTTCTCTCTCTCCACATTTTTCTCAGCTACTGCAATTCTTATCTAAGTGCATGGAACTTTATTCCCTGTAAATTTATCCTAGGACCTATTATACATTATGGGTAAATTCTTGGTTTATAAATGAAATAGAATGGGTTATTATTTTTCCCCTGCTTGTCTTTGTTCAAATTCATTTGTTCATCGACAGGGTGGGGAGAGATTACTCCCAAGCGTCTTGCCGCAATGCGCAGAATGGAAATGCCACACGCATTGTTGCCTCTAAATTTAATTGAGTGATAATTATCGGAGCATATATGCATGTGGTTGGAGGAATTTTGTGCCAAGCTGTTAAATGTGGAGTTTATGTGGTCAGAATGGACATTCAGATGCATATATGTAAGAGGTGTTAAGCATGCATGTTTAGTGGATGATAAATATTCTTATGCTTGGCCCTCTGTGATGAGGGTAGAGTGGTTACTGCATTTGTAGTGCAAATCAAGCATTGGTGCAAGTCTTTACTTGAATAGCCTTTAACTTGTTAGCTGATTAACACGGATTGTGTGGTTCTATAGAAGGTGGGGGCCTTTGCTGGTAATGTTGAATTCTTGTTAGGTAGTTAAGGTATTTCTTCTCTAATGAGATGTGTGAATATGGAGCTAAGGATATGACTTAACACTTCTTTTTTCCTTAACACTTGCATATGGAGAATTAAGGATGACTATTGATTCGAGACAAAGACTGCTAAAAAATTTCCCTAAAATGGATCTGTTCATATGTAAATATAGATTAGAAATCAATTTATATCTGTATGATTTTTTAAAGGATATTTAAAGCGCTTAAGGTAAAAGCATATCTATTGTGGGGGAGTTTCCTCACTTGACTGCGACATCTTTAATGATTCTAAGAGTGTTCCCACTAATGGTTGTTGAGTGGAACTGGATGAAATGCATGCATCTTTAGGGTGGATTTGAGGTCTAATGAAAGAGAGAGCTTATGTGTCTATACGTCTGCATGATGGAGCACCTTGAGACACTATATGACTTCATAAAAGATTGCAAATGTCTGTTCAGCTCATCTCTTTTCCGAAGATCCATCCCTGACGTCGTGTTGAGACTACATCTTACGACTTTGCTCCATTAATAACATGACTATGCTGTACATGAAGTTGGAGACTGTTGCAGAGTTTATATAGATGTAGGCACTTTTTAGATTAGTCTGTTCTCTAGATGTGATTAGGGAAAGAGGAAAACTTTGCAAGAATTCTCTCTTACCTTTTTTTACTTGCAGTGCTAGTTTTCGACTTCCCTTTCTTTTCTGCCTATTTGAGAGGCTTAGATTCTTCTTCATCCCTTTGTGTTATAAATTGGGTCCCATAATGGTTTTTAGCCTCATCATCGCCTTTTTGTTTCTTTCTTCTTTTTTGGTGGGTACTCCCATAGAAACTTGGTTCATTGGCCATTTATGTTGACTCTACAAGGGACTACATCCCCTAAGTGCTGGCAAGATGTTTGGCTGAAAAATTCTTAAACCTTTTGGCAATCTTTCACTAAAAAAGTCTGGCAAGAAGTTGTGGCAATAATTTATTGGCAAGATCAAGTGCTAGTAAGTTTTGGCAATCTTTCTCCAAAATTCCCATTCAAGTGCTTGCAAGAAGTTCTGGAACTTGATCCGTTAATAAAAATGCCTACATCTATCTGAACAATGAGAGGTCTTGCCGTTACTCAGATCTGCAAACTTAACTTAGTAGATAGTTGAAATGACATTTGAATAGTCTCTAGTAGGCTTTATTCAGTATTTGTGAGCAACATGGCTGCATTTTTTGTGAAATATCACCACTAATTTGGGACAATTTTGGGGGATAGTGATATGTTTGTAGAAACTAGGCCTTTAACAACGAAACACATGTTTCAATTGACTCCTAGGTTTTCAATTTTGTAAGAACGACAGGTTGTTTTCAATTTATTTTCCTTCATCTATCTCATTTGATATATTGTATGATATCATATATTCTTTTTAATGATCATTAACATGTTTTGTTTTGTCTGTGATTTATGCTGACTGAATTCCTTTGGCTGTTCACTTTAGCTTCATTCTTGCTGCTGAGTTTTCTTAGCCGACACACTTTTGCTGCTTTTAACCCTTTTGTTTTTTTGGCTTTTGCTTTTGCAGATGGACGGTTTTGTTCTACCATCTTTTGAATCTAGTGCTATTTTAAAGGATAAGGATATTATCAGGTTAGTTCATTTTTTCTGCATCTTTTCTTTTTGTGCTTGTTGATTCAAGTATTTTTTTTCTCCCATAACTCAATTTTTTTTTTATCTAATCCTGCACACTCTTGATGATTAAAACATAGAATGTTTATTTAGTCAACATTTCTCAAAAAAAAAAAACATAGCATGTTTATCCAATGTTGATGCTCCTACTCCTAGGTATCAATATTCTCATATAGTCCCATCCTAAGTAACTTACCTTTCTGCTCCACCAAACATTTCTACACGGATCACTTGTGGGTGCAGCTTCTAAGAATTATAGATTCTTCAAAACACCACAATGCATAATGTTTCTACTGGGAAATTAGAACTTCATTGGTGTGAGAACTTGTTCTTGCTGTATGTTCTTTGAATATTTTCATCAGTATGAATTTGAAGCCACGCAACCATCAATTCAACATTGTGACTCGACTTTTGAAAATGTTTTACCTTCTAGGACATGCCTTATTTGCTTACTTTGATATCCCTAATATGGGTTATCTCATTTTCAATAAGAAAGCTAAGTTGCAGAATGAATTGTCGGCTTTGCGGAAGGTTTCATGGGACGTAATTGTCATCCACACTGTCGTTGTAGTCTTATTTTACCTAATGTGTATTTGCAATCTAGTAATCATTAGCTCCACAGTTTGACCCTGTCCTCCATATTTGAATGCCATCACTTTTCGTTTGAACTATAGTTGTATAGAAAGCAAGTGCCAAGGAGAGGGAACAGAAGTGGGGGTCAAGGAACGCTTACATTTAGAAAGAGAAGCAAAAGAGAGGAGAATGAGTGTCACGCCCCAAGAATTTACAATACTGATATTCCTGAGATGTGACAATCAAAACATATATACATCTCTTGATAGGACAAATTTACAGTGGCGAATTCTTACAAAGTAACAAAAGAAAGTTTAAGCACAACTACAATATCTTTCAGAGTTGATCCTGACGAGCACTCAAAATGAAACTGCAGTTATCTTGAAAAAAATGTTTACCATAATTTGATGAGTTTGGCTACTCAGTAAGTGATCATCATAATCCTAAAAATAATCATGGTTCAAAGATATCAATATTTTCAAAAAGGAGATCTATTAACATAAATTCATTAACAGTTTCACTTTAAAAAATGCATAATTAAGTATAATCCGAATAATTGAAATGCATATAACATTTTAATGGCAGTCCATAATTCAAGGGATTTCACAAATTACCCTATTGGCATCCCAAGTAGGTCACCTATATACCCCATTAACGTTCTGATGGGTCCACTTAATCCCTATTGACGTCCCAGATAAGTCCACTTAATCCCTGCAGGTCCTCTTATACGTCACCGGTGTACCGGATGAGTCCACATAATCCCTACCGACGTACCGGATAGGTCCACTTATACCTCACCGGCGAACCGGATTAGTCCACTTGCATACTTAAAGTATTTCTAAATCTCTTTAAACATTCGAAAGCAGCAATATCATGTACTCAACATATCATTGAAATTATTAATATGAATTTCATTGAAACCATTTATAATAGTCACTTTTAATAACATTTCAAAAATAACCAGTCAAATATTTTGGGCTCAAATTTAGAAAAGTAGTAGTTCGTAAAGACATTCTAGCATAATTGCCAATCTAATATGTATAGAAAAAAACTCTTATAGAAATTCAAGAATACGGAATTATCACAATTTATGGGATGTCAATTTTCAATTAAACATTTCACAGACAATGCTATAATTAATTGCAAAAATATCAGTTTTCAAATAATAAGGCAGTCATTTGCACATGAAATTTACAATGTCTAAATATTAAAAAACAGTAGAAAGAAATCTCACAATTTTACTAAAAGCAGAAATATCACATTTAATTCTAATAATTTTACAGTATCTAAAATTTTTTAACAATAGACAAGAAAAATAAATAAATTTATTTTTAAGAATTTACAACATTTAAAATTTCTAACATAGATAAAATATCACAATTTCATTAAAAGATTATTTTTCAAAATAATGAGGTCGCTTGCGCATAAAATTTATCGCGCTTAAAATTCATGACAATAAGCAGAAGTAATTGTTTCATTTCATTTTTAAAAAGAACGGATTATTTTTCAAGATAATGAAGTCACGTACATTAACTCCAAAATTGGGGGAGCATCAGTTCCATCCCACACAAAAACATCGGTACTTTATTCAGAGACTCGATATGAATGAAGAATCTTTTCCAGGGAAAGAAAGCATATAAAATCAACTTAATAGGGATTGTGATTTACAGGAGCAAATGAAAGTAGTGTATGCAAAAGTTACCTTGCATACCAAATCGACAATCTCCTACTTTTTCACATCCCCAATCTTCTTTAAAAGGAAGCACATATTTATCATTCTTAAACATAAACAGTAACCATGCTAGAGAGAGAGAGAGAGAGAGAGAGAGAGAGAGAGAGAGAGAGTACGTAAGTAAAGTAAA